TAAAAAAATTTTTTTTTTTTTTTTTTTTTTTTTTTTTTTTTTTTTAAAAAAAAAGCTACAAGTGAAGAACAAACAAACAAGCAATCATACAGGCGCCCTTAACAGGCTGTCTAAAAACATCATTTTAACATTCAGAAACACTACCTTTAGGTTGACTGGAAAATGAATTAACGACAATATCCATTTAGGTTTTCTAAGGCAAAACTACAGAGCTATTGCAAAATTATCACATTATTTCTCAGGATGGTTTGAATTACAGGCAGGCAGTTTGGCCAGGGGGGAAGGCAGATGGAGGAAAGCTGAGGTCCCCAAGGCTTCTGGGCGTAGGAGGCCATGGACCTTCCTGCCAACCTCCAGCTCAGCTTCCTCCTACACGGCCACCAGAGACCAAAAGTTGCCCTTGGAGAGTGGCTCAGAGATGCAGCTTAACTGAGGGGTTTGAGTCATCCTGAGGAGGTTGCCTGGTTGTCTCTCTTCATTAATTATGGCACGAGCCTAGGGAAGCTCAAACGCCTGCAGTAAATAGCACAAATGCCATCCACAGCTTCCGCTGAACATTTTCATCAATGTCATTCGCTGCCTCAAGAGAGAATATTGACAGAAATCTTACAGGCAGATTGCTGCCAAATCAAAGCTTTCTGCCTTAGCTCTTAAAAGGACAAAATTTCTTAAGTGTCTCTTTCTGCCCCTTTATTTAAAAAAAAAAAAATCTCCTCTTGTGCTTTTTGTACATTTGCTTTTTTGGGTTTGAATTCCCATTTCGGAAAGATGTTTTTTCAGAACTTGACATTTTGCAGGGGGAGGAATTGGCATTTTCCAGCCCAGCTCTACTTACAGTCCTACAAGATGGAGTGATAAAGGCAGATTTTAAGGGAGATTAAGTAGATCAAAAAGCCAGTCCAGGAGGAGATAGGCTTGTGTTAAAGGCATGGCTTTGAACCCAGAACTGAGCACTTGTAGCTGCCACTGCCCTGCTGCTATAGCTCGCTAACACAAGCTCACAGCTTATTTCTCCCTGCATAAAATGGGGTAAACAATTACTCTCTTTCTGAAGGATCTTGTTTGAATGGTGAGGGAAAAGAAAAAGCCATAGGCACTATCCCTCTCCATCTTGAGGAAAAAACAAAAACAAAACAAAGCAAAAAAAAAAGCTTGCCAAGACAGAGAGGTTGTCAAACATCCCCTCTTCTTACAAGCTATAAATTAACCTCTCGCCCAGGAGGATCTCTGGAGACCTTCTGGAAATGGATACAACCAGTATAATGAGACAGTTCTCTTGTCTGAAGGTACCTAGGGAGAAAAAGTCGTCCCAAAAAAGATGTTCATGAGCAAACAGGAGATAGGAGCACTAAAACTTGTATAGATTGGACTAGCCCAGCATCCTCCAGGATTTTCTCTGAGAAAAGGTTTTCATTATAGGTTTTCATTTTCATTTCATTTTCATTTTCCGGGTTTTCATTACAATCCAGTTGGGTTCTTTATTGTTGGGAAGTATGTGCATATGTGCACACACATTGTGTCACCTATCTACTCAAGTCAGTTTACCCTGTACTCACACAAGAACCTCCAAGCAGAAGAGATTTAATGCTCAGTGGTGATGTCTCTGTCAACTTACAGATACTATGACAGCTCCTTGCCAACACAGACACTTTGCAGGGCTGCAGCAGCACGGAGGGACCATGCTGGGAGTCAGGAACCTGTGAACTACTTTTATGTGCACGCTTGTATTGACACCCCCCATTTTCATACCAAAGGTACAAATTAAAAATTACAAATGGAACCTCCTTAGCAACAATAGTAAGAGAAGTTATGCCTGGGGGCCTTGGCACAGTGCAGATACAGTACTAAAAGCTCCTCCTGACTTATCAACAATCCTTCTTGCAGCAGGTGGAAATTTCTCCCATAGAGACCATGTCACGCACAAGGGAGAACTGCTTAAATCATAGGGAGCTCATTACTGGTGCAGCCTTTGCTCAGATAAGGGCTTCAGGATAAGCTCCATAACTTGTGCTGCAGGTTTAACCATGTATAAACCAGGCAGCTGATATATTTATTTTTTCTAATGGCCTAGATAATATATGTGCACTTCCACAAAAAAAAAAAAAAAAAAAAAAAAAACACCTTATTTTAGCCAATATATATTCATAGCTTATTTGCTTGAATAGATTCAGTTCTCAAGCAGGCAGATATTTGTGTGCAAAAATTGTACAGTTGCAAAAAAATGGGAAAAATACACGCGAACAGAATGAGCTATTCACATATATTTCAGATGACTTGTGTTCTATTATTTCCAATCTGATGCTTGTTGGCAAAAAAATACTGGGAGAATGTTGCCTGTAAAGCATTGCAAGTTTCAAGGTCAGTAGGTCTAGCTATACACTTTATCAGTAACTGTCTCATGCTTTTCTGAGACTATTTTTT